TTGTTTGTTTGAATCTTCCCATTAATGTTTAGGATTGTAATTGATCAGTCTCTTATTGACATATGTGCATCCTGTACGGATTGCCTCAGTATTACTTTCAGTCACATGCATTATAAGCATAGATAGATGGTAGCTAGCAATGAAATCCAAGACTCGCGTTTCATTCTATTTGGGACTCGTCATCTGGATGTACCTGCATCCGAAAATTGGTGTTCACTCCAGAACTCAAACCTAGTACCATTTGCTTCACACTATTCACTTAGCTATTGAGTCTTGATAACCAAGCGCTTCCTGGCTTCCACTACTAACCACCATCTATCTTTCGTCAAGCAGTTTATCTATAAAATAAAAGTCAAATAAAAATGTTATTAAGATGTAATTAAAACAATGTTATGATTGAAATGAGTGTATTTGATAATACTTTATTACTTCTGACATGGTACTGATCAAAATCAACTATATCATCATACTAGATTAATTAGAGTTGAGAGGTAGCTGGTAACAAGGGTATTTGTTATTTTGTATACTTACTTGTTCGCAGTCAGTTTGAAATAAAATGGAAAACCCTAAGTTAACATTCGCTCGGAAAGAAGTTATAAATAGTTAAATATTTGTCATTACAGCTTTATCGGCTGGTGGAAAAAATTGGAAACTTGAGTCAATCAACATTCTAGAAAATGTAACTAACCTTACTGTCGTTTGCTCTTAGACTAAATGGATGGTATCATTTTCATAGATAGCAAGGATCGATATCATTTCTGAATGTAATATAAGCTGACGTAATTGAGACAGTTACATAACATTTGGAAGGATTCAAATAGATTTCAATAATTAATCAAAAACATTACCATTGAGCTAGCAGCAAAATCCGATTTAGAACCTTCACTTGGCGCTCGTAGGTAGTAAGGGCAACGTTGCTAGCTAACTTTGGCGGTCGACGAGATCGGACCAAACCATCACTCTGCTTTGAATAGAATCAACTGGGTTCCGATTCCAGGGCCCACTAAAATCTTGAGAGCTGTTCGGTACATACGGTTATGTATATGACTTGTATAGGTCTCGACATGTGTAGTTCATGTATTCAGGTGTATGCAAAGGGTACATGTGTGGATTAGCACAAGAAACGCAGGCTGAAAAATATCTACCCTGTGTCTGATAAAATCAGTGGACTAATCTTTTGGGTCGAAGACATATTAAGAGAATATGGTAGCAAATATTGAGGAGAGGTGATACCCTCCCTAAAATTTTTTATACTTAAGTGTATGCCATAAAGCGCTAGGGTGAAAGTCTGCATAAAAGTAATATGCATTTAATGCATAGGTGGCGGTCAGCTTTAGCAATTATGTTCAAAGGGTACGGTGACCATCTTTCTTACTACATGGGCAAATATTCCCGAATATGTGGTAAACGAAAACTGAGGTGTGGGAACCAATATTTTGTTTAATACGAAATTACGTAGTTCGTTCATAAAATATGAAAATCACATCTTTCATCTGTTATCTTCTACATACTTCATGATTCTTTCAATTCTCTTTTGATTTCAGTTTCTCTCTGTTTCCCTTTCTGTTGTAACTTACACCGCATATGTATACTTTAGGATGCATGAGTGTGTTATGGATGTGCATGTAACGTATACTTGCTCACAGGGTTAGTATACCTATGTGTATGCCAAGGAATGTATCGGTGAAAACTTATGTGCTATCTGTATGCATATAGAATAAACTTATCATTAATGCGACACCGACGCGCAAATACCTGAGGAAACGATTCCTCCACGGAATTACATTCACGTGGTGGATTTCTGAGCCATGCTGAGCACAAACTATCTCTATAAAAGTCGATCGGCTTCACTGTATAAGGACTGATCAACTTTAACACAGCCGGAACACTATACCATTTAGCTACATAGACCTATATATATTCCATCCCGCTGAGGAGAACCGACGAAGACAAAATCTAAATCTATAATCCCCCGACCCATTATTTATATCCATCTAAATTTAAACAATGCAGACTGTAATTTAAACTCATTTAGTTTGATGGTTGATCTACACAAATAAATAAATATAAGAAGTATTATTTGTTATTTTAATTAATTCTTTAACTAAACCTTATCATTTATTATCACTGATCATACTGCAATATCTTCTAACAGTTTTGTTTATTATAATAATTTATAGATATATTAATAAAGTACTAGTATAGGGGTTGTGGAGATTATTAAGTTTTTTATTGAGATCATGAACCGATTAATGTTAGACCACCAACTTTGGAAACCTGGAAACAGTGAAAGACCGTTTCGTCCTATTGTGGGACTCCTCAGCAGCGTGCTTCCACGGTCCCCTCGCGGGATTCGAACCTAGGGCCCTCGGTCTCGCGCGCGAACGCTTAACCTACTGGATCACTGAGTCGGCATCCAATGGTGATAGTGTCTGACATCAAACAATCCACGAAATTGAGCGACCATCTTCCATTGTACTGAGGTAGATACCTGTCTCTACCCGACATGGATTACCTCCACTGGTCACGGCTTCTCACTAAAACTCCGAGAATTTCCTCACGAAGCTAGTCACTAGTGAGCACAGTAGTGCACACTGCTAAGGAGTCCCACAATAAGACGAAACGGCCGTCCAGTGCTTCCAGGTTTCCAAAGGTGGTGGTCTAACATCAATCGGTTCATGATATCAATCAAAAATATTGATAAAGTATTAGTTAAGTAGATCACTCTTTTTACTTGCATAACTAATAATAAGCATAAAATACATATTATTAATAAAGTACATCAATAGAAAACATTGATGATTATTGTTTAAGGTGGTAAGTTTAGTGAAATCTTTAATGCATCCCTTAATAGTTTCTTTTTATTTCACTACTTCCATTATATGTTCATATAATGAAATGAATTTCAACAGTAGATATGTATTACTATGAAATTTGTAATAAGAATATTTATTCATTCATAATCATGTACTTGTTTTTTTTGTTTTGAATAACGTAAGTTTAATTAAGGACAAAATAAAACAAAGATGAATTCATAGCTAATCAATTAAATCACAGTTATATGAATAAAGAATATTCTCTATATTGAACTCTCAACAGATTAATGTTCTAAATGAATGAATAATCTTAAAGTAAATACAACTTTTAAAACTACAAAGATTTAGGATTAATAATGTAATGTGATAAAAATAGTGGATGTATACTTCTGAAGAAGTCACATACTAGGACGAAATGACCATTCAGTGCTTCCAGGTTTTTATTAGTGATCTAACATTGATAGATTCGTCATCTCAATCATAAAATTTACTGTTGCAATGATTAATAAGCGAAGTTAAGTTACATAAGTTTATATATTAGATTGTAAAATTTCGGTGAATAATAACCACAATGAATATGATTAATATAAGAAGTAATAATTTAATTACAAATCAGAACAACTGATTTGTTAAGGATTATGTAATATACGAAATAAAGAGAATTCAGTGAGAAGCAATACATTTATAATCATTAGAATAAATCCCGACTGTTATGAAAGATGAACAATTGTTTTATTTTCGGATAGATATATAAATTTTTAAGGAGCATTGGATAACCATTTTTCAAAGCTAGAATAAGACGTTACTACTGACGTTACTTCATTGATTCTGACAGATATCAAGCATTAAATGATCAAACTTGGTTTTAAACCACTGAGTTGATATTTAGTGGTTTATCTTTCCATATTAATACACAAAACAAATGTTTTGCCTTCTCTAACTCTAAAACGTTGCCCAACTAAAGTATGTCTATGCGTTAAACTATCTTCGAACTCTATCTATCTAATATATCGCTATAAGTCACACGATTTAAAGCCACTTATACAAGTGGTCATATTACAACTGGATGAATGGGATTTACCCAGCAGATAGACCTAGACAAACGTAACGTTCATTACTTTAACGAACACTCAATTAAGCAATAGAACCTCTTAATTCGGGATTGTACGTCATCATATCCCCAAAAGCTTAAATGCGGAATGTTTACGTTTAATAGTTAACACAATATCGTTGGTTAGGAATCTATGAGATTCATATGTTGCAGCTTTTGGTTCAAGAAATATAATCGAATATAGATTGATTGATTGATTGATTATATTGAAAAATAATCAATAAATATATTCTCCATATTGATTGAAATCTGAGAAATAATGCGCCATTATTATAAACAGCACAAAAAATAGCACACAAATTACCATTATATCCTGAATTATATTTCTTTTAAAATATTTTATCTTTCTATTAACAAAACTACGTTAAGTTTATACAAGCAAATAAACATAGTTGAATAGAAACTATTTGTTTACATCAATTATAACTCAACTCATTTGTTGTTTTACAAAAGGCTTATCGTTCAATTTAATCACAGAAAAAAAAACACAGCTTGACTGCGAGACAAACAGTGAAAAAATAACCATGTGAATAATTTGAGAATAACATAGGACATTGTTTAGTTAATAAATACACTTTCATGCAAAACTGATTGAGAAATTATATTATATTCATAGTACTACTCAGATTGGTGATTAAATTAGTAACACATTTGATAAAATGATAACTAAAACAGAATTTCAATGGTTGAGGTCATGAGTCAATTAAAGCTAGACCATCGTGGAAAACCTGTAAGTACTGGACAACCGTTTCGTTCTATTATGGGACTTTTCAGCAGTGCGCATCCATGACCTTGCTTTGCGAGATTCGAACCCAGGACCTATTAGTCTTGCGCGCGAGTGCAAGGCGGGATCGTGGATGCGCACTGCTGAGGAATCCCACAATAGGACGAAACGGTCGTCCAGTGCTTCCAGGTTTTCATTGGTGGTCTAGTTTCAATTGACTCATGATCTCAAACTGTTTAAATCACTACAATCTCCACAAACCCTTTCTGATATAACAGAATCCACGAGAAAAGAAGTTTTACATTCTCTAATAATTCCTTGTTATATTTTTTTTGCCTTTGATTTTCAGATGGTTGCTCTAAACGTGAATGTCGTTTTGGTGCAATCTGTGAAGAATGGTTATCAAAAGACTCTGATCAACTTATTGGTGTCTGTGTATGTCCAACATTAATGGATATGGCAAAAAATCATATGTGTAATATGAATAGTGGTACAATATGTACAGTTAATGGTTTATTTTATTTAAATGAATGTGTTATGCTACATCAAGCTTGTTTAAAACAAACTGAAATGAAACCAATGAATTTAAATGTTTTCAGTAGAATATTATCTCAAAATGATTGTAGTCAATTAATTCAAAGTAAGTGGAAAAATGTTTTCATACTTGATATTTCTCTACCTAATTAACAAATTGACTTATAATAATTATAATGGTATTGTAGTTTATTAAGTCTATAGTGAGAACACAAAACAGTAAACAGGTAGTTGACTGTCCGACACTATTCTTCTAATCTTCAATATGAAGTTGGACTTGTCAGGAGTTAACTGCTAATCACTAGCTGGTTGTCACATCATATTTAAATTAGATCTAAATGAGAACTTTGTCGTCAAACACTGATTCTGTGGTTTAAATGTTCAAAGATTCACCGTTAAAGTTTTAGGATTTATTCCTAGGGCAGTCTAGGGTACGTAACAAGACAAAATATCATGTTCACTGTGATTTTCAGTGGTACCCCAAATGAGACCATCTGTAATGAATGCAACCTATAAATTAAGTCACTCACATCAAAACCTTCGGTAAACTAAAAACATAATTCACACTTGTAAGATTCATGGAAAACTATTACATGTCTACGTCTGTTTAAGTTACATAAGTATTATTATATATTACAATTTTGGGCAATATAAGAACAACCAAGTTCTTCAAACGCTAATTAGCTGTAATTAACCTACAATTACAAGTAATTATGATCAAAAACTATTTTATCATATTTTAGCTCATCCATCTGAGATGAATGCTAAAAGTCTGACAGACAATAGCAAAGAGCAAGGACACAACATTTGATATTTACCATACTGACAAAGATCGATGTTTTTCCCATTTTTTTTCTACTCATCCATTGATATTCGTTCCTTAGGTGACCCATTGATTTGTCCCTGAAGTTTTTTTGAAATTCAATAATTAATAAAACTTTTAAATAGCTGATATCATGAATCAATTGAAGCTAGACCATCATGAAAAACCTGGAAGCACTGGACAGCCGTTTCTTCCTATTGTGGGACTCCTCAGCTGTTCGTATCCACGATCCAGCCTGGCCAGATTCGAACCCAGAACGAACCGGCCCTGCGTGCGAACGCCTAGCCTCTAGACCAACGAGTCGGAATTCAACGGTGTTAATGTCTAACTTTGACTAATCCACGAAATTAAGTAACACGTCCACCATTGTCTTCAGTGAGTTACTATCTCACAAGAGTAGAGTTTAACCGGGTCTATTGTGAGATAGGAACACATTGGTGAATGCGCCGTTCAATTTCGTGGACAAGTTGAAGTTAGACATTAACATCGTTGGATGCCGACTGTTTGGTCTAAAGTCTAAGCGTTCGCACGTGAGACCAGTTCGTTCTGGGTTCGAATCTCAGGAGGCCGAATCGTAGGTGCACACTAATGAGTAGTTCCACAATAGAACGTAACAGCCGTCAAACAGTACTTCCAGGTTTTCTATGGTGATAATCTAGCTTCAATTAACTCATGATCTCAACTATCAAAATTACTATAATATCCCCAAAAATCCCTTTATAATATTCATTAATTAAACGTTGAATATTCTAATTTCATTTATGTTAACTTTTCTTTTTGTTGTTTTAAATTGTGGTAAATTAATACGAATATTGGACACTGTCATACATTCTTTTTCTAACTGAATAAAATAATCATTAGTTTACTTAATACTAATATATATATATTCAATTTGTTTATGGGCTATAATAAAACATTTTAGAATCACATCATTAACAGGTAACAAGAATATAATTTTGTTTACTTATAATTGTACTCATTTCCTTTTTTGCTATTCTAACAAATAAGTAATTGATCATTATAAAACTGACAATTATTGGTGTGTGTTTATTTTTTGTTTTATTAAAAATTGATACTCAATAATAATATGTCAATAAATATTGGAAAGTATTCAATTTTTGAAATGTGTTCAAATATATTGAAGTTCTTCATAGGTGGAAAACTTTGACAATATATATATTTTTTTTCACAGATTGAAATCATGAGTCAGTTGAAGCTAGACCACCATTGAAAACCTGGAAGCACTGGACAGCTGGCCGTTTCGTCCTAGTATGGGGCTCCTCAACAGTGCGCATCCACGACCCCGCACCCCGCGGGATTTGAACCCAGGACCTACTGGCTTCGCGCGCGAGCACTTAACTATTAGACCAGTGGGAAGCCGTTACCAGTGTAGTACAACCAGGTCTGTTGTGAGATATCAGCTCACTGAAGACAATGGTATATGGTGGCGCAACTTCGTGGATTGGTTGAAGTTAGACATTAACATCGTTGGATGCCGGCTCAGTGGTCTAATGGCTAGGTGCTCGCGCGCGAAGCCAGTAGGTCCTGGGTTCGAATTCTGCGGGGTGCAGGATCGTGGATGCGCACTGTTGGGGAGTCCCACACTAGGACGAAACGGCCGTCCAGTGGTTCCGGGTTTTCCATGGTGGTCTAGCTTCAACTGACTCATGATTTCAATCTGTGTAAATTTCGAAAATCTCCACAAATCCCTTCTGATAATATATATTAATAGGGTACACATGAATAATCAAGAAATTAAATTTACATAAATTAAAAGCTTTTTAATCAAATGGTCATTGATATGATGTAACATCGTCAACAGTTTTAGTATATATCATTATGTTAAGAATGGGAGTAACTACACATCAGATATTGAGTAGTAACTATATTAAGTTGAGCATTTTTCAAAAAAAAAGGAATTAAGAAGATATGCAAGGTATATCTCGGTGCAAAATGTTCCATATGTTATCAGGATTTTCTCAAAATTCTAATTTCGTCTCAAGGTTTAATAAACCCAGTTAGTGGTTAATAATGAAATGCAGGATGCGTATTATTTCCTATTAGGCACAAAAAGTACTGCGGAAAAGTGTTGCGTTTGAATCTGGTTGTAAGTATCAACACTGTGATCCCGGTATATTTGTCTGACTAGTCCCAAACAAAACATTTTGTGTTAGAAAATAAACCTCATCTAACTTGATGATATGTAGATGATTTAATGAGAAGTAGTTTATCTGAATCATCTAATAGACAAATTACCACAATATATTTTAAATAGTTTGATTATAGATTAACTCGTTAAGACGTATTTAGTGGGAAAAGAAAGCCTTAAACTAGACAAACGCAATGGAATAACAAGTAAAACGGGGGAAATTTTCATACATACATACATTACTAGATATTAACTTATAATGAATAAAACCAGGATAGGAATTTTGAAAAATTTTGGACTCATAAATGAGAACCGAATGGCTAATACTCCAACAAACTTTTACGTTCCTCTAAGACGACTACTACACAGAACTACAAAGGTTGAATTAGGATCGTTTCTATGACTTGTTTCAGCAATATAGGTATAACAATAAAGGACAAGGATCGTTTACTGCCATTTTCTATTACAATCATTGAAATTTCATCATCGCACTGTCATATAATATTTCTGATCTCCTTGATCCTCATTTTCTTATCGTTATCATCACAAGTCATTGACTAAAGACTATCTCATAGCTATTCATAACATATAACACTGATTGTTCAGTAAGTAACAACCTTTTTAGTGCTTAGTACATCTGACCAAACTGTGTCGACCAAAAAATACAACGAGAACATAACATTTATTAATTGGATATCACATGCATTGTATTTTATTACTATAGGCAGTTACGAAGATCTACATGAGGATTATTATTTAATGTAACTACTTCATTCCTCAAGGATGTAAATCATAAAGTGGTTAACTTAGCAATAAGTTTCAAAATTCGACATTTCTTAACATGAGATCGAATAACATTATAAGTAACAGTCCTCCCAAGACTGAGGAATTATCTTACAAACGAATATCGACTAGAGTATTTCACGTCAACTATCACCAATCATATAAAACATATTACTTTAATAATACCAGTCCTTATGCCATGTTGACGGCTTCAGTTATAGAATTATTATGCAATATGACCAAGTAATACTTTTCTTTGTAAATCATTTAGATCAGTTACTACTCAATATCTGATGTGTAGTTACTCCCATTCTTAACATAATGATATATACTGAAACTGTTGAGGATGTTACATCATATCAATGACCATTTGATTAAAAAGCTTCTAATTTATGTAAATTTAATTTCCTGATTAATCAAGTGTATACATTTTACTGATTATAAGATGAATTATGAATGACACCCAACCATTCTATCCAGTGTAAATACAGTAATAATGGATGATTAATTGTATTCAGTATAATAATAATAATAATGAGGATATTAGTTATTTTTAAGAGTAACGTATGAAATATTTAGCAGCTAAATGTTTTATTTAAAATCCTCCATGACCTTGATACATGACATTTACGTTCATTCTTCTTAGCATTTACTAAATGTTTAACTGTTTAGATCATAGAATACTGATACATTGTTAAACATATTAACCTCCCATTCAAGCTATACGCAAGTTATATAGCATCATTGATCAAAATAAACCATTTATTTATGTAATCTAACGTTGTCATAAAAAGCATACAACTTTAAGTTGCCCATTCACTGGAACATAATCAATTATGAAGATACAGTCTCATTTTATCAATCCAGATATACACAAATTCATTGGATAAATGATGAAGATCTTAATAAACTTAGCTACTTCATGAAAGGACACTTGATCACTTGAACATTTCTTTAAAGCTCATAGTATTGATCTTCATTCACATAAATATTTTCATTAATTTACGACACTTTAGTATACAACTGAGTAATTTTCAGATTAACTTGAAAATGTAAGTTAACTGTTAGAAAAAAAAATGGAATACCTCGCAACACTGTAGAGTAATCACTTGAATTTCTGTTATTCAATATTCAAGATCATGTTAGCGAATGTTACTGATGCTAAAGTAAGTTAAAAAATAAAGTGATAATTCAGTAATCTTTCAAAAATATTTCAATGAACATTTCAGTAATTCTTGCGTTTAAATAAGTTGAAACACTTAAATTCTGTTTTAATGAACTTTTCCAAGAGTTAGTGTATAAAGTTATTTACTTCTTAAACAAGTAAATAGTTCTATATTCTGGGAAAGCATGGTGAAAAATAATCATGTAATTTTTAGTGATTAGAGTCGAGAGGAAAATTTAATAGTTCTAGTAAGAATTCATGACGAGTGGAATTCATCCGTGTTGGGTGTGAGAAAGTTACCCACCGAAGACAATCGGAGGTGGTGGCGCAATATTCTGAATTGATTGAAGTAAGATATGTACATTAGTAAATAATAGCTTAATGGTCTAGAGGTTAAGGATTCTCTTGAGAGACCGATGGGTCCTGGGTTCGAATCCCTCAGACAGAGTTCTAGATGCTCACTGCTGAGGAACTCCATACTAGAACGAAACGGTCGTCTAGTACCTCCAGGTTTTTCATGGTGGTTTAGCATTAATCGACTCATGAATTCAACTATTAAGAATAATTGTTGTTCAAAGCTTGATCAGATCCATGATACTATGGGTTTTTTAAATAAGAATAACATCACCAATTAAATAGTCTGAAAGAAGATGCATTAGTGATATCAGAAACAAGACTTACTTATATATACAATTAATTTCAGTAGTTGAGATCATGAGTCAATTGAAGCTAGACTACCACCATGGAAAACCTGGAACAACTGGATGGCCGTTTCATCCTCTTTTGAGACACCCACAGCAGTTCGCATCCGCGAACCCACCTCGCAGGATTTGAACCCAGGACCTGCTGGTTTCGCGCTCGAGCACTTAGCTTCTAAACCACTGAGCCGACCGGCATCCAACGAAATTGAGCGACACATCCACGATTGTCATCAGTGAGTTACTATCTCACAACAGACCCAGTTGAATTCCACTGGTCACTGTTTTCCACTAAAACTCCAGGATATACATCTTGAAGCCAGTCACTAGTGAGGATATGTTGATTTATGTATTGGACACATACACAGAAATTCACATATTTCACTATCTTCACTATGCACATATATGTATAAATGTGTAACGTTGTACGATTTATACATCATTGAATAAATCAAATATATAAAATTAATACAAAAAATAAATATTATAACTAATTCACGTTGTTGATTTTTTTTTCGCACTCCCTCCCTCTGGTTCACTTCTTATTCATTTAGAAATGTCTATATCTGCTATTCCCTCTTCTTCTTTACTCATCACTAATGATCAATCTCCAACAACAAACAAGATTATTTCATCATTAAAATCAAATGAAAATTCTATTCATCAAAATATTCAACAGATTAAAGCTGATGAAAATCTCCAACATGATTCACCCCATTTATCTCAATTCATTAATCATTCACCGATAATAGAATTTAATTCAATTAATAATAATCAATATAAATGTTCATTAACATCATGTCCCAATGAATTAAATCCTATTTGTGATACAGAAGGTACCATTTATATCAATGATTGTTTATTAAAAAATATTTTTGTCAAAAAATCAATAATGGTGAATTACCAAAAATCATTTCATGTAATTCTACAATACAAAGTAAGTAATCATTTTTAAAAAAATCTTTATTATTTATATTTAATTATGGTAATAACACTATAGTGTACAAGAAAACAAGTGATGACAACCGGATGTACTTTTAGACATTACAGAACATTTTAGTAAAATCTGAGAATCATATCATAAATAACTCACTATGTTTTTCATATCATAATGAGTAGAAAAATTAGACTTTCTGACGTTTCGTGACTTAGTGTAAGCCACTTCTTCAGAGAATAAATAATCAATTTATTATTTATATTATTCTTATTGTTCCGTTATTTTTTTTTAAAACTTGGATTAATTTTTGGTGGAGGCCCGTCATTTACATCAGACGATGTCGTCGAAAGGGCTCTCCACTTCAGTAGCCCGAGTTCTGACTCCAAGACGATCGTAATGGATGTTTGTTATTGAAATATATATGTCGCCTATCCTCGTATATAATCATCGATTTAAATCACGTTAGTCAATAACGGAATTAAATAAGTCAAACAACGAGAATGGACTTGTGAATACATATATTTTGTACATAAAGTGAATGGAATAGAACGAAGCAAGACGAGGCGCAGTGGAGATGGCGGGTAAGCCAACTCCCATTTAATCAAGCGTTAATCAACATTTACAGTTACACAAAAGTAAGTTACAGACATGTGATGAGTAATGGGATAAGAAGTGTACACACAACTACGCGCTCATATAAAAACAGTCAAGATCGATAAGTGAATAAATAACAAGGTCAGAATGTGACTCAAGTAGAATGAATAGAATGGGCTGTCCGAAGGCTAGAATAAGGTATATGAGCTTAACAATAGTAACCGACACTACCATTTTTAATTTGGTTAGTTATTCTCTGAAGTAGTGGCTTACGCTAAGTCACGAAACGTCAGAAAATCTAATTTTCCTAGTCACTGGGATATTACAAATATATATTATTTATTTATACTAATCTATTCAATGCTCAATTTATTCGTAATTATCAAATCAAACCTTGGTAATGATACCTACATATCATAAATAGTTAACTTGCAAAATATCAATCAGTTGTCTCCAACTTGAATGTTCCTTTTGTAATCAGAATTTTATTGCTTCTGTATTTTTTTATACCTATTACCTTCCGTTTCTGTTTTATAACCTCTCTATCTTCTACTGAAATACATTCTATTCTTGACTATCGTTATATACTACTTATGTGGATATAAGTAGCTCATACCAGAATATGATTATATATTAAAATATCTAATTTATTTCATTTTATTAAATATATTTTGATTTAAAAAATACTCTGTATCATGAATTAAAAAGTATTTAATTAATATTTTATTATATTTTAAATTTCTTCCATAGTATGAACTCATCAAGAATTAAACTTAGAACTGTCAGGGTTCAGAATGTTCGTGTTTTCTTTTAACCACTGAATTAATAGTCAATAATTTATATTTTGAATATTATTCAGTTCATGATAGTGTGTCAAACATATCTCACTCAATGGATTGTTAGCGTAACATAAATACTGTCATTCTATTTATTTTTCATTGTTTCTTGATCTTCGCCCATACTGATCAATAATGAATTATGATTTTCATAAGACGCTAAATGTTGAGTTTAAGTTAAGTAAATGTTAGGAACCACTAGTGAAGTGAATCTGTTATCTAAAATAAATTGACAGTCTCCCACTTAATTTAATCTTATCTCACCCTACACTACACTCATTGATATCCTTATTCCATTATTCTGTACGTGAACCAATTATCCCAATCCGTATTTGACGATTCAGTATCTTTGAATTTGTTAGTTTAAAAATTAAAAGTGTGTTACTCAGCAAACAAATGAATTTTTTATGCCATGAATTACTCTTTCTTCGTCACTTACAAATACAATATACTGATATGTTCCTATAAGTCATTTTCTTGCTCTATTTAACACTCAAAACACGTCTCAGTGATAAATAATCAATATTTGCTAATCAACTAAAACTAAAGATAAAAGTAGTCTAGAGGTTAAGCGCACGAAAACGAAAATCCTGTATTTTAGTCTCTCACGTTGGATCCTGGATGATCACTCCTGAGGAGTTTCATACCAGGACAGACAGCCTTTTATTTCTTCCAGGTTTTAAATATTGGTCTTAGATTTGTTCGCGATTCCAATGAAATTCAATAATTTCTGCCATACCATATTGAAAATGAAAGTGTTTATATGTTTATACATACATCTAACTGTCTATAAATTAAAAATTATTTAGTATTTAATATTTCCCTAGAGGATTTACTTACCTCATGCACTGTAATCTGTTTACTTTGGAAAATGAATTCTTAATTGTTGTGTTCTGTTACAATCACGTAATCATTTATATTTCTTTTGAAATAAAATACATCTAATTACATTTTTCTTTTCATATGTTATTTCTGGGACTGAGATAAAAGCTGTAATGCATGTTACACAATCACAAACTGGCAAACATCCACCTCAATAAATAAATAGATAAATACAGACACTAATCTTTCTCAATCATTCATATACGTAATTTGCTACTAGAGATGTATATCGGCTTTCTTTCCTTGAAATTTTCATCTGGCTTTATTCAGTCACCATTAATAACAGAACTGAAATTGACTGGTCTTGTATTTTGTGGTTTATAGAAATTAAATGCAGAGAAAGTTCAGTAAAGTTGTAACACCAATACAAAGCAAATGAATACATCAAATTAAATGGTTACGATACATGACTTGAAAAGAATGATATCTGTACGATGTTAACTGAGTAGAAAAACAAAATTCATTGTTGGTGTGCTTATAATTTCAATACAAGGGAATGGTTATCCCAGTTTTATTCATTAGATGAAGGCTACATGTTAATTAGATGAAGGCTCGAACAGATCAGTAGGAATGTTTCACCATATGGAATTATGTGAAACAGGTTCAAATTATGTATGAAGCATCAGTTTCCCAGAGATTACTGATACACCTAACTGATGAGTGTCAGACAGTACGAAACCTAGATTTAGTGTCACCTGTCAACTACCTCAAACCATCTAACAACTCAATATACTGAACAGTATGTTGTGTTACTCAGACCACCGGCCACACAACAGCTTGAATGATAGAATTAAACTAGTACCAAGGGCTAGACAAATAGTGATCAGCCAATTGTATTTACTGAATGGTTGGTAGAATTCGGGCTAATGAGCTTCGATGATTATAACATACTAAGTAGACAATCACTTATGATATAGAAAAGCAGATATTTGTTCTATTCAACCACGCGGTATCTTATATTCTCATTTAATAAACGTCTACGACACTTTCTTGAATATATCGATTCAGGTTTATGGAATAACTTATAGTCACATTATTTAAATTGTGGTACTTAAACCGCATGAATGTGAAATTCTTTATATTAGTATCAATTTTAGGGAAGTTGATCTGTTGTATTAATTTCATAATTGAGTAAAACCTATTTTTAATAAGCTACAGATGTGTATTTTAATATTTTTACTACGGTTAATGTGTTTCTAATATGAGCATTTACATGAGACATGATTTACTGAAATTAGATGGTGGTGGAGGTAGCCGACAGAAAACCCTGGACCTGGTTTTCGTGCTACTTGGCACTCGTCAGCAAGGTGTATCTGTAATCTTGAGGGACTGGTGCTCACTGACGGATTCAATCCCGTGTCACCCAGCTTCACAGTCAGAGACGTTACCACTGAGATATCCGGGCCGCGACTGACCTCCTGTGGGACCACCATTTAATCTCAATATATAGTGCATGCAGTGTCCAGTCACCTAGACTAGTGGCCACATTGCAACATGGTCGATAGCATTCGATCTGCACTAAATAAAGACTACACGCATGACATTGATCACCACCCAGTGATCAGTCAATTGTGATTACATAGATCTACTGTTTAGAATTTTTCTATTGAGATCACGAATCGAGGCACTGGACGGCCGTTAGTTAGTTGAATTTTTTAGTTGATTAAAATAATATCCAGTTGTTATTTTTTAATGCTATTACTATGAATAACTTCCTTTGATACATCATCCATTATACTACAAGTTGAAAACAAATTAAAAAATTCCATCGTCATAAGGAAATACAGTAGGATTTAATAGTTAAATTCATGATTCGATGAAAGCTAGACCAGCATAGAAAACCTGGAAGCACCAGACAGCCATCTCGTCGTAGTATGCAACTCCACAGCAGTGGTCATCCACGATCACGCCCACAAAATTCTAACTCAGAACTTCTGGTCTCGCGCGCGAACGCTTAACCTGTAGACCACTGAGCCAGCATCCAAAGGTATTAATGTCTAACTTTAATCAATCCACGAAATTGCAGCATCGTCCACTGGTAGAATTTCATTAAATCATTTCTGATAGTTTTCTCATGCAGTCTAGAATAACTTTACCAAGGAAATAATTTACCAAGAATGCAAAACACCGTAGCACATGCATGCATATTTATTCTGTTGTTCAATATTCAATAGTATGATAAATTGACAAATGTAAAACAAATATTCCACGATAATTAATCATGAACTTGATAGTCATAATCACCAAGAAAAACAGTGAAATTTTGAAAAAGAAATTTGAATAGAAACATTCCATTATGATAAATTCATGCTAAATACATTACTTTTATTACAATTACATACTTCAATTCTGTCATTATTACTAAGTTCTCAATTTCGAACAGTGTTATTCAGTAGACTGATATTATTTTCTGTTTAATGAATTCATGTATCTGTCAATTGAAATAAATGAAACAGTTGTTTAATTATGTAAAATAAGGTCCCCATAGTAATAATAATCATGTAAACACTAGAGACTAGCTTTATGATGTAACTCCCGGATCTCTAGTGAAAAACTGTGATCTATCGATTTCTAACCATGTCTAGTGTGAGAAAGTTATGCTCCACATGCAATCGATAAAAGTTGAACAATATCCTGAATCGATTGAAGTTATACATGTACACTTTCATAATCTGTTCTTGTCAGTTA